CGCTCTCGGCTGCGCTCCCTTCGCTGCACTGCCACCCCTCCCCCCCTCGCCCCTTATTCCATAATTCCAGGAACGCCAGCTGGCTACACACAGCTGACGTGGGAGCAGAGAACTAACACCTGCTAGGTCTAGTCAACTGGACCAATCCTCGTAACAACTCTATGAGACAGGTACTAACATTATCTCCCTTTTCCAGTGAGGAAACTGATGCTCGGCAAGGTTCAATGGCAAAGAAGTGACTTTAAAGACTTGTCTGCGCTGGCTGGTGTGGCTCAGGGGATTGAATGCAGACCTGCAAATCCAAAGGTTTGTGGTTCGATTCCCAGTCAGGGCACATGTCTGGGCTGCGGGCCAGGTCCCCACTTGGGGGCGTGCGAGAGGCAACCAACCGATGTGTTTCTCACACATCAATGTTTTTTCTCCCTCTCTTTCTCGCTTCCTACCCTCTCTAAATAACTAAAATCTTTTTTCTTTAAATTGGAAAAAAAAAAAAAAGACTTATATGCTTGGTTCTAATGTTCTTTCTAATGTTCTTTCCACGCTAGCCCTGACCACACAACAGATGTGTCTCTCAGAAACATTACTCCGGATCACAGGTATTTAGGTGCTCATTTCATGTCACCGAACTACTGCGTAAGCTCCCTGGGCTAAAAACACAGAAACGGGAAACACACAGGACCTTGCCGTCAAATTACCAGACCCGAGTTCAAATCCAGCTCTGTTACTGCCGGTTGTATGACCTCGAGCTAGTGACTCATCCTTTCTGAGCCTCAGTTTACTCTTCTCTAAGATGGCGATGCACCCGCCCCGTAAGAACCACCGCCAGGGTTGAATGAGATGTCTCCGAAGGCTAGCTCGAGGCGTGGCACATGCAGGCATCAGCTCCTGCACCACTGGCCACATAATCCCGCACGAGTCACGTAAACGGGAAGATGACTTTTGCCATGTGTTACACTAAAAGGAAAAGAACACACTCTAAAGACCACAGCATTGCTGTGAGGATGAAATGAGATGTGTCAAAGGTCTTCGTAAACTATGAAGCACTAGAAAAATGTCAGGTATGGCCCCCAGCTTAGCGCAGTGCCTTGCCCAAAAACAGATTGCAGTAAATGTTTGATAAATGCTACATTAAAGAGAATTTTGTTAATGTGGACATGTCCCAAATCATCTTTTTATTTTTAGAGAGGGAAGGGAGGGAGAAAGAGAGAGAGAGAAACATCGATATGCGGTTGCTGGGGGTCATGGCCTACAACCCAGTCATGTACCCTGACTGGGAATCGAACCTACGACACTCTGGTTCGCAGCCTGCGCTCAATCCACTGAGCTACGCCAGCCAGGGCTAAATCATCTTTTTTTTTGTTTTTTAATTTAAAGAGAGAGGGGAAGGAGGAAGGGAGAAAGAGTGGAAGAGAAACATCGATGTGAGAGAGAAACGTGGACCGGTTGCCTCTCACATGCACCCCAACCAGGGACCAAGCCCACAACCTAGGCGTGGGCCCTGACCGAGAATCAAACCAGTGACCTTTCCCTTTGTGAAACCATGCCCCACCCACCAAGCCACACCGGTTCAAGGCCCAAACCATCTTTCCAGAGCCCTGCTAACCTGTGCACATTCTTCATCCCCAGAAAACAAGGGGCGAAGTCGGCTCACAGGAACTTGTTAAGAATCCCCTTAATTCACCCTACCATGAGGACCCTAGGGCTCTCACCCTCAAGCAGTATTTCGGCTTTCCTCATGACAGAGCAAACTAGTAAGGCATGTGGCAAATAAACTGAACCTCACTTATGTTTGGCTTTGGTGTACTTTTGTACTTTTATGCAAATGCTTTTGTCTAACAGTCAGGAAATTTGGAACATTTTAAGAGGTACAATGTTACTGTGGAGAAAATGATATTCAAAACTTCCACCTTATGCAACTCCACTGTCCTCTTCCAAGCTTCCTCTTACATCCCACTGCTGTGGACAGACATAGGACTTCTCAGCCCGCAGTGAACTGCCAACAGAAAGCAAAACAGGCTCATCTCCAACTGCTAGTTCATACCTTCTCTAGTTGGGCTGGAATTTAGTATTTCCTTTAAAAGGCCTTCTCTTCCATTTCCTGCTGGGTCGGAGTAAACAAATACACAGTTTATATCAACAGGTTCAATGAAACAGAGCAATTTACTACGTCAGCAAGATGAGCCGGGGGTGATGGCACCTCCCACCGGAGGTGGAGGTGGCAGACAGCGCTCCCCTCGACTGCGAGCACGGGCAGTGCTCTCTCGGGGATGTCAGGGGGCCTCGGGTCTTTCTCACATGCTTAAACAGTCCTCCATCTTCAAAAACCCAAAGTCCATGCTCTTAAATAGGATGATCTCTTCATGTCATTTAAGCAACACGTTAACAGCTGCCCAGATTAGCCGTTCCCAGTGACAGCCCGGCAGGCTCCTCCGACCCTAAGTGAGGGCCAGGAGGGATCACAAAGCGGCCCCGAAGGCGGGTTTCCGGGGAAAACCCACACGGCTTCCGCACAAACAACTCCACAGATGGAAGAACTGGAAAGAAATCCACAGACAGCCCTCCAACCTAACTTCAGTTTTCAGTGTCTGACTCTTCCCCGTATGCCTTTTTCAAGACTTAGCACGCAGGCCACAATGTTAAGAAAAGTAAAGATTTTTGGCATTCCTCAACCTAGTACTTCCCATTGCTTTCTTGAACAAGGGGATAAACTACTAGCTTACAACAATGCTAGCAAACAAATAAAACTGACAAGAAGAAAGCACAATGATAAAAGCAAAGATGAACTACAAACTAACCACAAACTACAGGGTGTGGTAAAGTAGGTTTCCAGTTGTGAGTACATGAAACAGAGATTATTTTTGCAATATTTACTCATTCTTGTATTATTTTCCATACAAAGAACTGTAACCCTATTTTGCCCCACTCTGTATTCATATGTGAGGTCAAAGGTAAGGGGACACTCTTGATGACCCCAGCGGCCCACTCCAAGCCCCCTCGGATAAAGAGCACACTTGTGGGTCACAGCGCAGACATCAGCATCTTTCGAATTTGGGGAAATCACTTCTCAGGTCACCTTTCCTCTACTAATCACTGAAGGTCATTGATTTAGTGACGGACTTCATATACCACATAAACACCTAGAATAACTTCAAATGTATTTCTCTCAACATACTAGGAATGAACTATTTCACTTGAATCTTTTTAAATCTCTTCAGATAATAAAAGACAACCTAAAGAGTTCCTATACTCTAGAAAGAGGTACCTGACGAAGCCAGGGCTTCAAAAATATTTGTTTCTAAGAATGGGATGTTCTGTCCACAACAGCCTTTAATGTGAAACCCCAGATGCTTCCGAATCTGTCCACAGCCATCACTAAAACACGTGGCATTTCCCTGGAATCTGGAAAGAAGGGAGTTCTGTATCTGAGGTAACCACATTCAGCTAGCCTCAGTTACCATCTATTGTTTCAGCTGCCCAAGTATTTCCTTGCTTTGCTCAATTCTTAGCAAACACACCACTTTCCCGAGACAGGCAAGAGAATATATGTTATGCCCTGGCTGGTGTGGCTCAGTGGATCGAGCACCCGCCTGCAAACTGAAAGGTTGCTGGTTCAACTCCTGGTCATGGCACATGCCCGGGCTGCAGGTCAGGTCCCCAGCTGGGGGCCTGCAAGAGGCAGCTGATCAATATTTCTCTCCCTCTTTCTCCCTCCCTTCCCCTCTCTCTAAAAAATAAATAAATACATAAATAAAATCTTTTTTAAAAAGAGAATACACATTATTAAAAGATTCCTCTGGAGGGAAAAACTTCCACCACACCAATTCAAGAGACTTAAGGAAGGGTAGATGCTACTAAAACTGAAAGCCTAACTTACTCACTCAACAAATATTTATTGAACACCTACTCTGTGCAACACTCTGTATATTCAGTGATAAACAAAACTGGTATAGTTCCCATCCTGACAAAAAAAAATTGATGATAGAAAAAAAGTAAACAAATGATACACAATTATAATTAATTACCAAAAGGCTATGACTAGGGCAACCTTAGGTCCCAATGTGCCCAGGACACACTGATCTATGCTTGTCTCCGTGTAAAATAGACAACGTCCCAGGTTGGACTATAAATGATAGGTCAAAGGATAAGCTAGTATAAGAGAAAATAACGGAGGCAAATTACTTTAGCCTGGGTAAGCAAAGCCTCCTTGGAAGAGGTACCATTTCCCTAAGTCCTGATGGGTGCGGCTCTAGTCGTTTTGGAAGGAAGGTTCCAAGTACAGGAGACAGCAAAGGCTACGAGAAGGCCTGGAGTATTATGATGATTATTATTCAACATGATCTTTGGCTGACAGAACTGAAGAGTCAAAAAAGTGATTTAGGGGTTCCCAGAGATCAATTTCTACATTACAGATTAAAATATCCTAAATCTCTAATTCTGTTAGACCTCAAAATTCAAATGTAAAGAAGCTCCAAGCATAATGAAGTTCCAAGGCAGTGGTTTTGAGATTTTTGTAGGTCATGAATCCCTGAGAATCTGACACTCTTTACCTCCCTCCCTTCCTATACAGATGGGACAAATATATAATCACGTGTGCATACATACACAATCTCAGGAGTTTCACAGGCAACTGCCCTGTCCGACCCCGCCAATTCCAGAAGTTCACTAATAGACTCCAGCTTAAAAGAAAAAAAAAAAAAAAAGCCCCCTTTCACAAAGGACAAAAGCAAGCTCTCAACTCTATTTCTCTGTTTGGGCATTAATAAGGGTATGGGAATCAACCAATGAATGCATGAATGGATCAACAACAAAAATCGATGTTTCTCTCCCCCCCATAACCAATAAAAAAATAAGAAAAAAATTCCTTTAAAAAAAAAAGAGATCAGAAGAAACAATTTTAAGTCAATGAAAAAATGACAATGAATAATGTATGTATTACCAAGAGTCACTAAGACTCAATTTTCCCACCATTTCAGAGAGCCAGACTACCCTCAAGTCCTTACCTTACTAACATTGAGTGAAGCTAGGGGAGGAGGGGTTTCTGTTCGGTCATTAATTATTTCCACTTCTGAAACATACTGTAAGTTTATGAGCAAGATGTCTGCGTGGTTGGGCTTTCCACTGGAAGAGGGACATTCTGGTGAAAAAACAAAGTTAAGGAAAACACGGGCAAGCAGAGCACTGACACACCCCGAAAGGGGCACGGAAAACACAATTCACACGAGGCTTGTGGAGAGGTGTACTGTGAGCAAGAGCGGGGAGCCTTACAAGAATCACACCCTCCCCATGAAATCTCTGCCTGTCACCCTCCTTCTGTTTAACCTCATAATCAAAAGATCTCAAGCTTTTCAAAGCCACATACAATTAAAATTAGAAGCCTCAAAAGGATTTCTGTCACCTTCTCAACCGGTTTTATGGAGAGGCATAATGTGGTTTTAATGCCTTGTGCATACTCTTTGTCTTGAACCTAAGGAACCACACAGAAGAGGCAGTGCTTTCTGCTCTTGGTGCAGTACTCCCTTTATCTGCACAGTGCTCATCGCTTTTTCAGATTTGAGAATCCCCATTTTGCAGAGGAGAAAAATATAGAACTATAGCACTACAAAAGAAACTGACTCAGGTGACCCAGCTAGTTAACCCATTCATTCATTCATTCATTCACTCAATCTCCAACCATGTATTAAGAGCATACTGTATGCCAATTAAAAGCAGACTCATTCCCCATTCCCAAACCCTTCCATCTAAACCATTAATTTAAAAGGTCCAATCTGGTCCAGGTATAAATTCTTGTATTTAAAAAAAAAGCAATTGTTCTTGCTGTATAAGTTTCAGAGGCCATCTCCTAAGCTAGAAATCTACAACTAGTGGTTAAATGAATTAAAATACTTGCCACTCAAATGCAGCAAACTCAGTAGGAAACTTCCTTTTGAAAGACGCTATAAAGGATTACTCCTCCAAAAAAAAATCTAAATAAACCCACTTGTGGCTCAAATAAAAGGGGAAGGGGTGGCCCATTTATTACAACCAGGAAATATTTTGTTTCCAAGACTGAGTTTCCTGGAGTAACTCAGAAATCATTTCCATCCCAAGGAAGCAGGCCACCTTTTCCATTCTATGTATCACTGCTACTTTCAAAAGGGGAGGCTACTTCTATGGAAGAGTCAGGACTCCATGTGCGCTCGGCTGAGCAAGAGAACGTAACTTAACTCTTTCACCTGTAACCCACACATCAACATAAGCCCCTGAAAAACGTGGTCCTCTGTCTGGACCAGTTTTCCAATGTAAACATCCCCCAAACAGCAATTTCCAAATGACTGAGAAACCTAAAATTCAGCACTCCTCGACCCCCATGGCACCACGCATACACACACGAACCAGCAAATCGAGCCCTTATCCCCAGTTCAGATATGAACTCTGCCCTTCAGTTACTCACCCCTCCAAACAGGCAAGGCCCATTTGGTCACCACCCCATCGCCTTTCTTGGACCAAATCCCATCAGTAGACACCCCGATCCTAAACTGCATATTCTTCCCTTGCCCTATTAGCAGTTCCTTACTCTACACACCCCATCCCCACTTGATTTTATCCGCCCCGCTTCCATCCAGGTTCCAACCCCCCTACCCCCTCCCACGACCAGCCCCTCTCCAGATCACTGTGTCCCCTCTCATATCGTTCCCCCTCGAAAAGCCATCGCGTGTCAAGTCCCCCTCCACCCACCGACCCTCGCACGGGGCCCAGCTCCTACAAGGGGGAGGAGGAGACAGGGTCCCCAAAACGGATCGAGGGACCCACGAGAGGGGGAGGGGAGCTCAGGGCCGTGCGCATGCGCTCCGGGCGCCGCGGTGGCCGGTCGCCCCTAGGCCCGGAGAGGGCCCCAGCCGCTGCCGACGTCCCCCACCCTTCCACCACGGCACATACACGCCGGCCCGGCCTCGGGCTCCGCGCACGGAAGGATACTTAAAGCCAGCATTTTGGACTGGTAGTCGAAGGCTACCACCTCGCCCTGCAGCCGCTGCTCCTGGCACGTCCGGCACGACACCTGGCTCCCAACGCTGAAGTACTCGCCCGGAGGAGCCGCCATCTTGGGAGAGCAGCCGCGGCCGGCGGCGGCGGCGGCGGCAGCAGCGGGCGAAAGCCGGGCGCCCAGTGAGCGCCGCGCCGCGACGCACGGCGTGATGACGTCACACGCCGGGGCGTGGCCTGGCGCTGGGTGGGGCGAGAGCCTAGGTGGAATAGGAAGGAAGAGAAAATAAAGGGGACGCTGAATAATTAGCGTCCACTGTACGCTACTGTACCCGCTTGGTAAAGTACTTGTAGGGTCCGTTTTAGAAGTTAAGTAACCTACGTGGAATGAAAAGGTAAAGAAGGAAGGAACTGCAGCCTCCATCACATATATACACGCCTTGACAGAGTTTGCTGAATGAACTCTTTATTTCACATGTGAGGAATCTAAGGTCCAGAACACTTAACACGAAACTTGCCCAAAATGATTATACTTCGTTATAAAATGGTAGAGGAAACTTTTCATTCTGGTTTTTTTTTCTGATCCTATTTCTTTATTCCTTCTGTATTAACACTTACTGAGCATCCTCATTTTACAGGTGAAGAAACTAAGTCTTACAGAGACTAAGCTTATCCAGGGCCTCACAACTAGCAAGGATTTGGTCTCCCTGTTTCCAAAGACGGCGCGGTTTACACTAGACTATATTAGATAATACCTCCTAGAGTAGTTAGGAGGTTAAATGAGGTGAAGTGTATAAATGCATGGCATGTTGTAGGTAGATAAATGACAGGTATTCTATGATCACTCATCACCCTTAGAATTCAGGATGCTTCTCCATCTCACTTCTGTCTTGCCATCTTCTCTAGAAAGCCAGGTAAAGAGCAGGAGTAAGAGGCAGTGGTAGTAACAGGGTGCCTTGGAGCAAGAGTGTGACCCACCCATAGTATATGTAAGTACTATGTAAATTAATTTTTAAGCCCTGTATCACCAATTGCCATCCCTAACCTACCTGTCCTCCACCCCCCATATAGAAATTCTGAAGCATCATGGATGAGTAACAAAAGGTTGACCTTTCTCTAGACCAGAGGGAGGCAAAGAGCCAACCCTGGAACCACTTAACCTGAACAAAGTTCAGAAGTGCCTCCTTGTCCTGCAAGAGACATCAGCTTCCTAATATTGGGTGTATGTTGTTAGCACAATCATTTAGCGGGAATAAACATACTGATCTTTCATACTTGTGTTTATTCAGAGATCTTTCATGTCTGGCCCCCATAACAAGTCATGTGTAAGTGCCACTCCACTTTTTATATGGAATTGTGATTATAGGTTTTCACATATAACTGCCAGGCATGGTTCAGAAAGGCTTCCTGCAGGGAATGAAAAATCCGAGACTTGAAGGAAAAGTAGGGAAACAGAGTGTTCTATGCGAGAGAAACAGCATGTGCCAGGACACCTAAGATGAGAGTCTGGTGATTTCGAGAAATATAGAGTAGCTCCAAAATACTATGAAATGGAGTTTAAAGGTAGTCTGTCAAAGGTGGTCTGGCTAGAACCCAGAGCAAGCTTTCAAGGACAGAAAATTTAGGTTTTAACCCTGACCGGCATGGCTCAGTTGGTTGAGCGCTGTCCCACAAAGCAAAGGGTCGTTAGTCTGATTCCTGGTCACAGCACATGCCTGGGTTGTGGGCTGGGTCCTCGGCCTGGGCGATTGATGTTTCTGTCCCTCTTTCTCCCTTCCTTCCTCTCTCTCTAAAAATAAATAAATAAAATCTTGAAGAAAAAAAGAAAGAAAGAAAATTTAGGCCTTCTCCACTGGGCAATTGAAAAACAATTATCAAGTGCATGAAATGAGATTTACATCCAGCTTGCCTTTCCCACAACTTTTGGATTCATGAAGTTCATCTCTTCCCGAGAAGTATCCAGATTTACATTTTCATTTTCATCCATCCATCAGAAAACTCTCCAAGAACAAAGTTGCTAGAGGGAAGGAACTGAGTAGTCACTTCAGCAGTCTCCTGCCGCACGCCCCTCTGCCTCTGTGCAGGGCCTGGCCCAGAATAGCTGAGGTTTCTGTTTTCTGGGTGTGTTCCTCCGTAAGATTATTCCAAATTTTGTTGGGGTGTGTGCCTTTTTTCTTCCAACACACCTATTATCTCCTGGTTTATCTGCTCCCCAGGGTTTGGGAAGACAAGAGGATGCAAGGAAGGGGACGGGGCAAGCCTAGAACTGGTAGTATGACTTAGGCCGTCCTGTGTGTAAGAATTTGCAAGGCTTTAGGAAAGACTCCTCACAGTCAAAAGGCTTGTCTCTGAGCCTCCAAATCAGTAGTGGATGAATTCGGGTGGGAGAGTTTTGGGCTTGAGGAGGAAGGCACGGGCTGTTCAGTGGTGTGTGTAAATTTAGAGTCCCACTTCAACAATGCGGAATGCCTGGCTCCCCGGTGGAGGAAGTGTCTATAGCCCCCTCTCCAAGAGATCTCAGGATATATTTGGAGGGTAGCAGTCCTGAAGAGGGGGGGTCTGATCTGCAAGGGATCCCGGCCCTGGAAATTACACATCCATCTTCGCTGTAGCAAAGCAGGGACGCTGAGCGTGCTGCAGACGCTGAGGTTACTCCACCTCCTCACCCAGAACAGCGGCAGCAACCACTTCTACGCCCGAAGCCCACGTGCCAGCAACAGCGGCCACGTGGAGATTTGCGGAAACGCCTTCGCAAAGATTTGTCCCCTGCGCTGCCCAGTAGAGGGGAAGCCGAAGAAGGGAACGGAGGAAACGGTACGGTAAGGACCAGGCTCGCGGGAGCCCGAGACAGCCGGGGGCGGGGCGAAGCGAAGGGGGCGGGGCTTGAGCTGGTTGCTGGTGGGAAAGGTGGGGCCTGGGTCTCGCCTAGGTGGGCTTCGGTGGGCAGTGAGTAGTAACATCCTTGTCGCCCGGACTCCTCGGCTTCTATCCTAGAGCAAACCCCTGGGTCGCCATGGAGACCACGCTGGGCGCGGGCATCGCAATGGCAGAGGCGCTACAGAACCAGCTGCCCTGGCTGGAGAAAGTGTGGCTCTGGGTCACCTTTCTGGGCGATCCCAAGAGCCTCTTTCTGTTCTACTTCCCCGCGGCCTACTATGCCTCTCGCCGCGTGGGCATCGCAGTGCTCTGGATCACCCTCGTCACGGAATGGCTCAACCTCGTCTTCAAGTGGTGAGATAGCAAAGCCCTCCTGCATCCTGCTCCCCCACCCTCAAGGGCCCTGAGTTCTGTACAAGCCCCCATCTTCCAGCAGGTGCCTCAAGGGCCTGGATGTCCCTCACCTTCCACCCCCACCCCCACCCCCCAGCAGTGAACCCCATGGCCTTAAGACTTCCCATTTTAGATTCAAACGTCAGACTCCCTACCTAGTCATTAGACCCGTGTTTGTCAAAAGGCCCTTATCAGAAATCACTTAAGGGGTATGTTTAAAATGCAAACTCCACATCCCACCTAAAACATTGATTTACAAACTCCAGCAGAGGGGCTGGGGATCTAAATTTTCACAAGTACCTGTGGTGACTTAAGTAGCCTGTAGTCCTGCTTCTCAGCTGTTTTCATGCATCTGTTCACTCATTCGACACTGTTTTTAAGAAGCATGCTTTATGCCAGGCTTCATGCTATCTGCTAAAGTCAGAGAAGGCTTACAAGTTCCAGTGTGCGCCCCAGAACATGACCATCAGCATAGGGAGCACTTGAAAACTTGCTAGAAATGTAGCATCTCAGGCCCAGGGCCAGAACTACTGTATCAGAATCTGCATTTTAACCAGAACCCCGGGTATTCGCGAGTAAAGTCTGAAAAGCCTGGGGTTCAGGCATTGCCTTCCCCGGAGAATACTTCCTCTTTTCCACTTCATTCACTAGTAGGGTCTTCACACAGACTTAGAAGCCAGCAATGCCAAGCAAGCAAGTGGGGCCCCTGGGGCTTATCTCTCTGCCACCGTGGGTGCACCTCAGCCCCTGTTGCCAGATCCCCAGCCTGGCGGAGGGAAGGGAGGCTCACAGGAGACAGACACATGGGCTGGAATGACTTGCAGAGTTAACCTTCCCTGCTACTCTTCTCTGCAAGACTTGCACCCCTACTGTAAACAGAAAAACAGTTGTCTAAGAATTTGTTTCCAATTGTCCTTTCCTTTGTGTTCTTCCTCCAAGTCTGCATAAGCTTCCTTCTCTAGGGAGCTTCTCTGTTCCCCTAAGAGTCAGTGCCTTAGGTAGACACTCTTAATGCCCCCCACTTGACAAAACCCCCATTCATTGGCAAAGTCTGTATGGAGCACCTGGTTGGGGTGAGACCGGGGCTCAGTTTTTGGTAGAGAGAAGCCGTTCCTTCCGTATTTCCTCCCTGGCACTTGATTTCCTGCCAGCCCCTCTTCCGCTCTCCCACCTCTTCTCCTCCTGGCCAGAGCAGCCTCTTCATTGTGATCTCCCAGGGTCCAGCCACGCACCTCCTAGGCCAGGAGATTTTGAATTTTTTTGTCCTCTTCAGTCCATTCCCCACTCCCGTTTTCAGATGTAAATAGCTTACCTAAGTAGTAATTCAGGTGTAGATCATTCAGGCTGGGAATTCGGGACATGGAGAGAGGGAGAAGCAGGGGGCTCTGGGAGGGGCCCGGGGAGAGGTCCCCGGGCTCTCTGTGGTTTAGAGGGGCAGAGCTGGTCCTGCAGTGGGAAGGGCAAGAGGAGGACTTGTGAGCATCTCAGAGCGTGCGTGCACACACTCACACCCCAACACCAGCCACGATCTCTTACCTCTTTATCGCTTTCTAAAAGGCACGTGTGCTTTCTCCTATTCCAGGGTAAGCATCCACGGCAGTGCGACGGCACAGAATGGGACTGCCCTTCCGGCTCCGCCTTGCAGGCCCTCCAGGGCACGCCCGGTGTTCTTCTGCCCCTCTCCTGTACCCTTGGCCCTGTGTGCGCATAATATCGTCTTGCTTCTGTTCTCTTCTAGGTTTCTCTTTGGGGACAGGCCTTTCTGGTGGGTCCATGAGTCTGGGTACTACAGCCAGGCCCCAGCCCAGGTTCACCAGTTCCCCTCTTCTTGTGAAACTGGTCCAGGTGAGAAGCCTCAAACCTCCCCTTCCCAGTACAGTTAGGATTTGGGTGAGTGTTTCAGAGTACTTTTCAGCCAGGGTGG